GAGGATATATAAATTTTGTGCTAAAAGACTTAATTATGGGTTATGAGAGGTTTGGGTTTAGCATAGAATTAGAAATTTTAACTTATATATATATGTTTTAGTTTAAGTAATTAATTAAATAGCTTGTGTATTGATATGTAAATGTATTGGTTGTGTAGATTAAATTATTGGGCTATTGGTATGAGCACGGGGTTAACCTTGTGGTAATACTTGTTCTAGACAAGAGGTAACCACTTTCCACTTATTATTCATGCTTGTAGGTTGTTTGTGATTAATTTTGAATTATAAGGAATTTATGAAATATTATTGAATTATGATGTGAGCTATGAAAGTATGTTGTTATTGAAATTGTCTTGTGAGACTTTTGTTGCAAAAGATATATGTTTACTATTATGATGATCTCAGGTATTATGAGTTAATTGAAAAATGGAAAATCCCAATTGACTTTTACATGATGATTTTTTTTATGAATGCAATATTTTGAGTGTTGATATATGAGAGGTGACGGATGTTGATGATGGGTACCATAACAAAGAGGATATAAGGGGGTGAATGATGTACATTTGAGGATATAAGGTGGTAGGGCCATCATGTGTACATTGATTGGTCCTTTGGCCCAATTATTCATTATAGGGCATTGACACCCTACTAGTAGACTAGAGGGGGAACCCATGGTCCGGTCTTGTGCTCTGCGGATTTTGGCCAGTCCATATCACTTGATCGGTGAGCTTGTCTAATTACCAGTCACATGGATGAGGATTTAGCCCATGGGTTTAGTCAGAGGATATAAGGTGGGTGGATATAAGGGAGGTGAAAAGATTATTGATTGTACTTTTTATATGCTTTGACAATATGAAATTTGTTGGAATACTATGAATTTGCAATTGTCTCACTTGATACGTCACGAGCACTTACTTGTATGCTTGATAAGTAAGATTGTTGGTTACTGAGACTTTTGTCTCACCCCGTTGATTTAACACTTTTCCAGGTGATAGTTCCCGTTCGGGTCAGTCAGGGAAGGTTCCGGAAGCTTAAGCTGCTATTGCAAAATTGTAGCGCTTCCACTCTTTTGTTTGTGTTGGATAGATGTATATTGCCATGATAGGGCCCATTCCACATACTCTGATATGCTGGTAGAAGGCCGGAGGCCTTTAGGCATTTGCATGTGATTTCTTTTGTTTGATATAAGTGGTGAATCCACAGTGATCTTTGATATCAAATGACTTTTGATTTTGTTGAAAGTTATGAAAGGTACTATTTAGTAAAATCATGTTATGGGCTTATGGTTGAAAATGATATTCTAGATTTATAATACCCAAAGCCCTATCCATTATGAATATCTTTTTACACGCAGTTAATTTAGAAAAGTTCTTTTAACCATGATAGACATATTTATGGATTGGTTTAATTCTTTTTCTAACATGGTTAATCTCATATGATTTAGGATGTTTATATAACCATGATAGTATTTCTCAATATTTTTACAAAGTTTCTTTTCTATCATGGTTAACTTTTCAATATTGATTAATTTATAAGTGTAGTAGTTTCGTTGTTACAAAAACCAAATCCACACACAACAAATTAACCATATATTGACAGCAAAAAATCAGCAGAGATGTTTCTGTTATAGGTTAAACGCTTCAATATACGGAAGAGATAAAGCAACCATCTTCAAGAAACACGACACCAAACCAATTAAAGTCACGAAGGAAAAAAAAAAAAAAGGAAATAATTTATAAGAAACATCGCAAAAATAGACCTTAAAATAGGAAAATTACAAATAAAGACTTATTATAACATTAGTATTGATTTTTACAACAATAAGCCTGCTAGCCTGTCATTCGGGTTGGCATTGGTGCGGGCCACTCTAGCCTGCACCGCCTTGAGCCCACTCCATCCTGGGCGAGCCTACTTTTCTTTTTTAAATTTTTTTTTATTTTCATGCAATCCTAATATATTATGCAATATAGTTGGAGGATTTTGATCCTCAAATTTCATATCGACATCGCCTCATTTATGTAATTGCATATGTAATACATACATAAAAGATCTACTTAATTAATTTGGATAAGAAAAATAGTCAAATTAATTATTTAGAAAAAATATTTATTAATTTTTCTAAAATATCTTTTCAAATTATAAATTAATCCTCACATTATTTTATTATAACCCACTACTTAAGTTCAAAACTTCAAGTCCAATTTTAATATTTCATACTAAGTTCAACCTATGCAAATAACAATAATTTTTTTTAAAAAAATTTAGGCTAGTCGGGGCGTTATTTCAGCCCACACCTTTACGGGCTGACCCGTATTCGCACCGCCAACCCGCATTACTGGCTCTACAATTAATAAGCATATGACAACAATTTTTATGAACGGGTCCTTGTATATAATTTTTTAATTTTCAAGATTTTTTTAATGACTTTTCCAAATTTATATTACTTCCTCGTGCCGAATATTCAGCATGTTTTATGATATAACGTATTTTGACTAAAAACAAACTTTTTTCACTCAGTATCCTCAATTAATTATAAAATCTAATTAATTAAATAAACTTATCTAACTAATAGTTTTTATTGTTTGATAATTTTAAGACTTTATAAGAAATAAAGTAACTGATTGTAACTAAACATTTTATTGCCATAAAGTAGTTAATTGAAACTTATAAAAGGGATAACAAAGAAAGAGTACAATACTCCTTTGGTTCTGCTTATTATAGAGCAGAGAGAGAAGAAATTTTTTAGTTCTATTTATAAGGTATAGAGAGAAATTTTTCAAATGAATGTATAATTTTATTCTTCATTTATTGTTGTATTGGCTTTGTTTTTAGTTGGTATAGTAGATATTAAACATGGATAGATTGAAAAACTGTTAAATTTCAAGATAGAGTTAATAAAATTTAAAATTTTTTTAAGTTTGTATGAAACATATTGAAGAAAGTGATCTATAAATAGGATCAGATAAATACTTACCAATACGGCGTAAGAGTTTGGAGCAAACGCAGGGCACATCAGCCTTCTTAATTTCATTGCAACAACGATCATTAGGGTCCTGCAATGGAGGCACACCTTTGTGCATATAATAGAGACACTCTATTTTTCTAAACCCCAAAGATCTTCTTCACAATCTGCACCTTCTGCTGCATAGTGATCTCCTATCATTATTCCTATCACTCCGGCCCACAACAAAACATAACGCTAATTTCATCTTCAACTTCTTCTTCATCATTTTCCTGCTATTGCGTCGATCTTCAATCTCCTCTTCGCTTCTTCTCTTTCGTGTCAATCTTGGTGTTTTATATATGGATGGGGCTTAAATGTTTGTATTAATGGAGGAGGTAGATCATGCGTGCTTGGTTAATAATGGTGGTTTAATGTTATGAGTTTTTTTTTTGTCTGTATAATAGTAAAGTTTGGGATGTGGTTTTAATGGAATATATCCAAGCCGTTAATGAGAATAATTATTATGTATTTTGATCCAATATATGTTCATCTAAATTATAGATTTTTTTTTTGTCCCGTTCATCATTAATGCACGACATAAAATGGTTACAATATCTAAGCTTCTTTTTGGTATTTTAATTTTTGTGTAAATCACGAGACGCATGAAAAGTGAAAACATTTTAATATTCAAAACATTTAATTAATTTCATCAATCTCTTTAATATTCCCCACTTTAATTTGCCACGTTCTTTCAGTACTAACCTTTAAATCTTTCTGTATGTCTTCAATATTTCCCTCCATAATTCCCCTCTATAATTCTGGTATTACAGGTGCTTATCAAATCTGAGGATCCCACCAGAGCCTAAAAGATAGTTCTCGTTGGCCCAAAATGAAAAAAAGAAAAAGAAAAGAAAAGGTTCTCATGATGAAGATAAAATGTAAAAGAAAAATTAATGTACGTGTGCATATGTATCATTCATTTATTTATTATTACTACAGATTTACCTATTCAGGTTATTAATTATCTGTTTTCTTTTATTGAATCCATATATTCTTGTCCTATTAATTAAGCGTTTCATCATGCGCATTGCAGGTTATTATAGATTGAATAAAAGCAAAATATTCGGTTTATTACAACAAAATGCTGATTTTATAAACAAACAAAACAGAGTGTCTAAAAGCAAGCCATGTACGTAAACTAAAGTAATGATATTAATCACAATCACAAGCGGCTTATTGGTTTTCTGTAGAAATTATCCCATAGTAAATTAAGTAGCTGGATTTGTACTGTGCATGATATGCTAGTACCATTAATATATGCCAGGTATCAACTTTATGATATATAGATTAAGGGGCTGTTTGGGTGAAACAAAAAACACTTTCAAAGAGTATTTTTATGTTAATTGAGATAAAACTTTTCTCACATACTTACTTCGTATATCATAAAATTATTTTTAAATCCACGGTTTTGGTTTCTACCCAAACATCTTTTAAAAAGTACTTTTATGCAAGTTAAGACAAAACTAATTTCTTATACTTATTTCATATACCATAAAATTACTTTTAAAATTATGATTTGATTTCTATGCAAACAATCACTAATTACAAATAATGCCAAAAGTGCTTTCATTTTCTTCTCATATAATGTACGTATCAATTAATTCCATTTAATGCACCAATAAAAAGAGCACAATTTACTTATAATTTTTACAATCTAATTTTTTTGCAGGTTTTCTTTTTAATTTCATATATAACTCAAGATACGCATGAAAACATTATAAATTTATAATATATTATATTCAATATTTTGCAATGAAACAACCAAACAAGATTAACAATTTAAATTAGTGATGAAAAAATTAACTCTATAATTTTCATTACTAATAATTTTGTAACAGATTATTAGCAATAGAAAATTTGCGTCATTAATCCATTGTTTTTAAGTGGGGCTATAACCCAAGTAAGGGTTATTATAGTCAATCAAAGAACATTATCATTCAATTCTAATATAGGTTACTAACTTACTGTTAGTTATAATTCATGGATAATAGGTTACCAAGATTTCACATCACATCACATCACACTATTAGGAGCCCATTTTCTGATTTCGTGAACTGTATATCTCAATTCTATGATTGTCTAACCAACAAGCAGCTTCTACCATATACAATCCATATAATAATAATAATAATAATAATAATAATAATATAAACCAGAACAAATTAGTGTATCTTTCTTCCAAAAACATAGCCGTCTTCCGATCTTCACTTTGCTGGGGGTCCAGTTGGTGGGACGGTGAAATCTATGAAAAGAAAAGAAAAGAAATCCTTTGTAAATAAATATGGAATTACAATTCATTATTAATATAATATATTTGAATTTCAGCCATTATTTTTTTGCCAACAATTTCAGCCATCAATTGATTTATACACATTTATAACTTTGCTGGTAAAAAAATTGATTTACACACGTAAAATATTTCACGTAAAACAGAATGGATATAAATTTTTTTTGCCAGCGAATATAAAATTATTTTTTCATAACACCGCTTAAATTTTTAATAACTGTTAAAATTTTTATTGTTGGTTGAAGTACACAGCATGTTCTTATTACTCCTGCCTACAATACAAGTCTGATTTAAGCACCACATATAGACAAAAAATAGTAACAATAAAAAGAAGTTACATCATTAAAGATATCTATCAAAAAAAGTTTGTAATACTTCCCATCTCAAATCTACCACATTAAAAGTCAAAACTACATTAATTACATCGAATTAATTACTTATAATATTTAATTGTATATAGAAAGGCAAAATAGAAAAAAAGACATTAAGTGTTCTAATTATTATTAAACTATACTTATATTTTGGCTCAAATTAGTCAAGTACATTATTAACAGAAAGAATATAAATTGATATAATGATGAAAAGTTTGAAATGGCAAAAAAAAAAAAAAAGAAGAAGCCAATACTGCCTCTGGATTTTAATAGAAAGCTTAGTTGACTAATTTTAGGTGATTAAGGAAATTACTAACTTTAAAGTATTTATATTTATTATTTTTCTCTAAACTAATTTACCTCACTTATAAATTGATATACAATCCAATGATACAAATAAATATTTAGAGAGACAATGTAACATATGTTATAATTAAGTAATTTAGTAACTTTCTTAATCTCTCCAAATGAGTCAAATAGATCTTATATTAAGAATCCAATGTAAGTAGTACTATCTTTGGTCCTTAATTAATCTTACCTCTGTTTCTAATTATAAAACCTTGTTTGTATCTACAAACAAGGTCTTATAATTACGACCGGAGGTAGTATAAGAGTTAGTTTGACTTTAATTTGGTTTTAAATATAAGACTTTAATCAATTTTGTTTCTCATATTTATCTATTTTTTTTCCAAAACAGTCTTTATAATAGTTGCACATGTTAAATATTTTATCAAATAACGCTTGATTAGCAAAAGTATTTGAGGAAAAATAACACCTATTTATTACAAATAACTAACTTAACTAATTTTTTTAGTCTACTCAAATTAGTCAACTAGCTCTTATATTAAAGATATGAGGTAGTATAATTTATTAAATGAGTGTATGAAAAAAATAGGGACTTACGTCCACACTTGAAGCCAGGAGGTAGGGGTCTGCCACAGAAGTTCAAGCAATTCAACACTTTGTACCAGTCAAGCATATCTTCTATGGTATAACCTGGTGGTATTACTGTTCACAGGCCAACAATCCAAACGTATTATTAGAGTCCATATTCCTTTTCTTTCCCCTTTAAAAAAGTGATTATGAAATTTTTGAGAGAGAATTCCCAAAAAAAAAATTTTAAAATTACTAAATCCTAAATAATAAATCCTAACACAGTTGTGTTGTTATTTGTAAATTCAGTATCGTCAAAATCTATTAAACTACTGTTTCCAAATTTGATTTATAATTTAGTAATTTCATGATTTTTTTTTTGGTGAGATTCTCCCTAATTAATAATTAATAATGGGCGCAAACGTATGTAGTTGCAAGGATATTTATACAGTGGCCTTCAATTTGGAGAGAAAACGATAAAATTCCTGTGATTTTTTTAATACCTATTTATATGATATTCCCTAAAACAATGTAATGACAAAGCATTATTCCACTCAAAACAGCCACAAAATATTACTATTTTGATGTTTTGTAATGACATTTTTATTTAACGGCAGCCAAACGTTCATCCACTGCTCATTTTTTAATTTCATATTGACAATATTATTTGAAACTTGGGCTCTATTTAAAGCAAATAACGTACGTTTTTAAAGTACTTAAATAATAAGACTTTAATTTTAGGGATCAAACTAAATGTATTTAATAATTTTCACAGCCAAAATTTCAGATCGAAACAAAAATTATATTAATTATCTTAAATTTTACAAAATCTTACACTTGAGAAAAATCCAAAATTATTCTTTTTTTGGTTTATATTCATCTATTTCCTAAGATTTTTTTCTGGCCATTAAATTATCTTCCAAATTACATATACTGAAATGCATGAATTCAGGATATCACTATCACACAATCAAACAACAACAGAGAAATATGACCATCATGAAACCACACACTGACCAAAAATTTTTCTCATTTGAGGTTAAAGAGCCTAAATACGAAAAGATACGGCAACCATCTTCAAGAAACATAACACCAAACGAAAGAGCGAAAGATAAAGAAAAACAGAACCATGAAAACGCAAGCTTTAACTTATCATACGTACTGATTTTCTGGGTGAGTTTGGAGCAGACGCAGAGTATATTGGCCTCATGAATCGCTCTGCAACATCGACCATTAGGGTTTTGCATTGCAGGAACCCCCTTGTGCATGTAATAAAGACACTCTATTTCTAGCCCTATCAGATCAGATTGGCATTCTTCACCTTCTGAAACTTCTGCAGTACCTGTGATGATCATTATTCCCAGAACCCACAACAAAACTTTCACGAACAACTTGATTCTCATGTTTGATCGTTCTGGAACTTTGGTTGGATATGTGTGTGTGTGTGTGGGCTAGTAGCTGGTGTTTTGATGAATGTGAGTTTTAATGGAGGAAGAAGGAGGGTAAGAGGTTTAAGAGAGTGTTTTTATGGGCTGAGGTTTTGAGTATTGAAGTTTTGGAATGTTTTTAATGGAACTTGGACAAAATGAGGAAGATTGTTAAGCGTGTTTCTTAGCCTTTACGACACGGTGATTGCTATATCAGATGTTCAATTAGATAAGAAAACAAAAATTAAGAACGTTGTTTTCTAGTTTTCTGAGTATGGTTTTCGTGCTACATGTACATGTTAGTTAATTGTTTGGAAGTAATTAAATTAAAATATATTAATACTTTACATGATTTGGATAATTAATTATCTTATATAATTGTTTGGTTCTTTTTATAAGTTTCACTAGCAAAAGAAAAACCTTAAATATAATATTCCTAAATTTAATAACATTCTACTCTTCCACTTCTTAACATAAGACCTAATTAACTAATTTAAGTAGATTAAAAATGTTAGTTAAATAAGTTAATATGATATTTTTTTAAAAAAATATTTTAAACATCTTTCTTAATTTTCTTTCCATTTCTTATTTGATTATTATTAGGAAAATATCAATAGGATTAATTTAGAAGAAAATTGATAAACATGTGAAATATGTTTTATATATAGAACCAATATTAACTCCATAATTAGCTCTTATATTAAGGACCAGAGAAGTGATTTACAGTTAGAGCTGTCAATAAGGGCCAGCTCGGCCCTAAAGGGCTAGCCCTTGAAGGGCCAGGGCCTAAAAGGGCCGGCCCTTTAAAGCACATACCTTAAAATTATCTAATTATTAAAGCCCGGCCCTTAGGCATGTGGGCTCATGACTTAAAAGGACTGGCCCTTTTATGTTATTTTTTAAAATTTAAATTCTTTTTAATTATTTTAAAATAAAAAATAAAACAACAAAACTTCTAAGATTTTTTATTCAAATTATAAATATAAGTAAATAAATTAGTGGTGTATAGAAAAAAAAAATTAAATGCCAATAAACTATTGTCCAAAATAAAAAAAAATCAAAATCTAACAAAACACGAAAAACAGAAAGATAAAACCTGGCAGTTAAAGATTAACAATATCAACATAATTATTATCTTTATCTTCATTTTCATCAGTATCATCAAGATCAGCAATATTTGATTGTTCTTTACTACAAGTGAGCTCTTCTTTAGTGATAAAAATATTAAGATTTTTGTCTTCATTTACCTTATCTGAAATAAAACTATGCAGTAGTTATAAGTACAAATAAGAACTTGAACATTTGTTCGAATAAGAAAAGTTTTACACTTTGTTAAGATATGTAAACCGATGGTAAATGAAGATCTACTAGCTATTATGGTGATTAAAATGTTAAGAATATCAGTTACCATTTTTGAAAGAATTGAAAATTGATTTTAATTGTTCTTCCACAAATCCAAGACGTTTAATTCTTTTCAATTATCTAGCTTGAGTATTGACTCTTCTAGGTATTTTTCTAATTTAAACTTATTCATAAAAGACTAATCTATAACTTTATAAATATATTGATAATAATTAAAAAAATAGACGGGCTTAAAAGGGCTAGCTCTTGGCTCTAAAAGGTTGACCCTTTTATTTTTAAGCCCTATAAGGCTAGCCCTTTTAAGTCTAATTTTTTTTTTAAACCACCTAAAATAATTAAAATTCGAATATTGTTAGCCTCAATGGAGGATAACTCGTTTTTTGCAATTACATGGACTTGAGTTTAAGATCTCATGCTTTACGTAGCCGAAGTCCCATCAATGCCCGTCGGTTTCGGTTTACGACAGTTGTTATAAATCAATCGCCTTGTTGTTCGATTTTTGAGACTTTTTTTTTTTGGTTTTAAACGGTGCTAATAAAATCTGGGTTGGGCTTTGTGATTAACAGAATTTGGGCTGGGTTTTGTGATTAAGAGCAACAATGGGCCCTC